AAACCCTTGAACATCTAGGAATACATGGAATATACCTCAAAATAGTAAAAACCATCTACGAGAAACCCACAGCCAGCATACTCCTAAACGGACAAAAATTGGAACCATTTCCCCTGAAAACTGGAAGAAGACAAGGATGCCCACTCTGACCCCTCCTGTTCAATATAGTATTGGAAGTCCTGGCTAGAACAATCATAAAAGAAAAGGCAATCAGTGGTATCCAAATAGGAAAAGAGGAAGTTAAGTTATCTCTCTTTGCAGACGACACAATTGTGTACCTTGAAAACCCAAGAGAATCTGTCAAAAGCCTCCTTGTACTGCTAAAGGACTTTGGTAAAGTCTCAGGGTATAAAATAAATGTGCAAAAGACAACTGGATTTCTTTACACCAATAATAAACATACAGAAACCCAAATAAAAAAGCACAATCCCATTCACAATAGCCACACACAAAAAATGAAATATCTTGGCATCTTCCTAACCAGAGACGTGAAAGACCTTTACAATGAAAACTACAAAACACTGCTCAAAGAAATCAAAGATGACACAAACAAGTGGAAAAATATTCCATGCTCATGGATTGGAAGAATCAACACTATGAAGGTGTCCATCTTACCTAAGGCAATCTACAGATTTAATGCAATACCCATCAAATTACCAGCAATATCCTTCTCAGATCTAGAAAAAATAATACAGGAATTCATATGGAAACACAAACAACCAAGAATAGCCAGAACAATCCTCAGCAAAAAAAAAAAAAACAAAGCAGGAGGTATCACAATACAGACTTTAAACTTTACAATAAAGCTACAATAATCAAAACAGCTTGGTATTGATACAAGAACAGGCATATAGACCAATGGAATAGAATTGAGATTCCAGAAGCAAAACCTCAATTTTTCAACCAACTCATCTTCAACAAAGCTTCCACCACCCACCACTGGGGAGAGGAGAACCTATTCAGTAAATGGTGCTGGGAAAACTGGCTGACCACATGTAGAAGATTCAAAGAAGACCCCTATCTATCCCCATACACAAAAATTAACTCTAAATAGTTCAGAGACCTAAATGTAAAACCTCAAACCATAAGAACTTTAGAAAATGCAAGACACACCCTTATGGAAGTTGGAACTGAATCCAATTCCT